AATGAATTATTAAGTTTATGGAGGATTTTTTCGTAATTAAACTCGTAATTGTAGCCCTAAATCATCGATAGGTTCTTTTGACAATCATTTCGTTATGTGTTAGAAAAAAATAAAAATGTTAGTCAACAGCTTAGGTCGGTTCGTGTTGGGAAAAACTGTGCCCTCTTTCTTGAGTACCACCCCAAGACTTCGGGCACAGTTTTTCCCAATACGGACCTCCCGGCTGGTGAATAACATATGTATATTATATTCATCACAATATGGATTCCGCAGAAAGCATAGTACACAACACGCTGTTCTAGAAATCCTAAATGACATTTTTACTAATTTTGATAACGGTCAATTCACTGTTTGTTTATTCATTGATTTGAAAAAGGCTTTCGACACAGTTAATAATGAAATTCTTCTCTCAAAACTTGAAAATTATGGCCTCAGAGGTATAGTGAATAATTGGTTTAAGCCTAAACATTATACGACCGTCAATGGTTTTATATCTGATGCTTATCAAGCCCTCTGTGGAGTACCCCAAGGCTCTGTAGTGAGACCCTTGCTTTCTCTCCTGTATATAAATGATATATGTAATTCTTCAAATAAACTTCAGTTTTACTTGTTCGCTGATGATACTACTTTAATTTATGCAAACGGTGATCTCAAAAAGCTTGAATCTGAGATTAACGAAGAACTTAACAAAGTTTCCTCGTGGCTAACTCGTGGCTAACAGTAAATTAAGGGGAATATTGGACATCACGTGACTAAGGTATTTGACACCCTCAGGAAACATCTATGACGAGTCTCGACTAAAACCCATGGTTAGGGTTAGGACTGCAGAAATCATGTCAGTTCCATTGACCTTTTTTTCCAGTATCTTGGGTTAGGATTGGATTTGTGTTAGGGTTGGGGTTTGAGCATCTATAAGTCACGTGACCAGCATTCTCATTGCACTCCAGAACCCTGGGGCGGCTAGCCACACGGCAATGGTCTTGCTGAGCCCGAAACATTTTGCTCTGACCTGATAATTTAAGAACTGACCACCCCCCTTAGCTGCACTTTGTGTTCTAATCCCAAATTGAGCCCTGCAAGGCTTTTGACAACTACCCTCCCCCTCTAAGTCCTTATCCTTTACTGCAATTTACACAAAACTTTCTAGTCTTACTAGTACCATAAGTAGTTAACAGCTTGCATAGTTGGTGACATCAAAATAACAATATAGTGACGAAAGGAAGTTTTTATTAACCTTGAACAACGAAAAAACCAATTATATTATCTTTCGCTCACGCCAAAAGACTATTCTTTTTTATCCTGATATTAAAATGGTAAATAGCAATTCAAACACCAGTCAACTGTTACAAATGAAAGGCTACACTAGATATCTTGGTGTACTCATTGATTCCAATCTTTCATGAAAAATTCATGTAGATTACATATGTCAGAAAATCAGTAAAACAATCGGAATTATCGCCAAGCTCAGACATTTTGTTCCCTGTCATGTACTTCTCACTTTATACCGCTCTTTAATCTTACCCTATATCAGCTATGGCCTTTGTGCTTGGGGTCACACCNTTTCATACATACCGAAAAAGCGTTGGCCAAGTTAACATGGTTTATTAAGCGACTGTGTGTCACAAAACATGGCTACCTCACTCTTACTAGAATAAAAATCCCGCGGAGATTTCATGTCTCACAAAACTAATCTTAAGACTTTGAGGCTCCCGATGAAATGAAATGATTAACAGAGAATTTCACAACGGCTGGAAAATAATCCGATCAACTTCAAGAGGCTTACTAGGTCAGTTTTCCTACTTCCGTTTTCTGACAAATGGGAAAAAGTAAATTCCGCGTTCAGAGAACTCTTTATGGTTTCAGAAAAATATTTGATTTGTGAATTTAGTGTTAAGATAGTTCTTAAGCCCAATTTTTTTTCTTTTTTTCGGTTTTGAATGCCCGCTTAAATTTAAATCAAGTATAACTCACGAAGAACCATTACACTTCTTAATAAACAATATTTGCCTCCTTATGGCCAAATTGTTGTGTGTATTATTACACATCGAGTCTCATCCAGTTGAGACAAGAGCCGAAGTCGTTCACGCTGCTGATAAGCAAGAAAGAAAATAAACATCTTTTTATGTCGAAAATCGTCCGTCGAGAGCCATAACCTGTTTAAGTCAGAAGGATTTATTTATTATTACTAATAATAAGCCAAATTTAACGTCATCGTCTCAAGATAACATCAAGATCTATGTTATCGGCGGAAACGTCACGAGTTTGAGGGCCGGTCCGATGTTTTGGGGTGAAATTTTCAATCGAAATTCTATGGTTCATAATTCGTTTGTGAGATAAACTATTTATTCAGGTGAGAAATCAAAACAAGAGAACACCAACTGCCAACTCATTAGTCACATTTAAGCTTCGTAAAAGGCCCTTTAACAGATACTGGATCATACTGTTTAATTTCCGCTGAAATTAATCAGCGATTCACCTTTGTTTGTTTCGCTCTTAAACCGAGAAAGCAAAAACCACGCAACAAAAAGAAATCACTTCTAATCAAACTAAATCCGCTTGACATTTAATTGCTTTGTTTAAGCTTCTTTATTCAACACTGCTAAGGATTTAAATTTCCTGTCTACTAACGACGTTAACGGTGACGTTTACGTCACTCAGTGACGTTTTCGGTGAGTTATGAAATCGTTTTTTACTCACTCTCATTGTTAAAGGGAACACAGCAAAATAGTTTTTCTTAAAGGGGGAACACAGCAAAATAGTTTTTCTTAAAGGTGATTCCAAGATTTTCACTTTAATACGCAAAGAGCTTTACACTCAATTCATAATACGTCTACTTTGCTCTGGTACATCCGGAAAAATAGATCAATTCTTCTGGAACTTACCTCAAAACAGAATTCACACGGCTGGCTACGGCTATACGGAACTCAGACGTCGTCGGTACTCTGTAGTTGATGTAGTCCTAAATAATACTGAAACATATCTACTTCTAACAAGTTTTTTATTATCTTTATTTTTTGGTATTAACAAATGGAACGAAAGAGAAAGTGTCTTTGTTATCAGTCTAGAAAAACAAGCGTCAGTACTGAGAACACCAAAGAAAGTAATGGAGCTGAAAGTAAAGGTAAGATTCTAATCGACATTTTAATTTCGACAGACACTTCTTTTCAAAAAGCTAGTTAGATACACGTGTACAGGAATCGAAAATGTCTTGTTTGTTTTGGTTGATTTTTTCAATGCGTGTTTGCCACGTTATCCATCCACGTAGTACTCTCTAGTTTTCAACTTTGGATTCATGTGTATTTAGATACTCAACCAAACCGTTCTATTCACCACCTGAATGAATTTAGTTTTTCGAACAAGGTATCAGTTTCTGGTTTTCAGACGCTTTAGATTCAACCACCAATCATCTATTCACCCGTCTTTGGCCTTCTTATATCCGTTATTTAAATGATCTAATATTTTAGCATACATGAACTTTACCGCCACAAATAACAAACAAACTCTACCCTCCATTTATTTCGTAGCCCACAGTTATTTCCTAGTCATTTCCAGCCCTAAAGCGAAGTCTGAAGTGTTCGTGACGAAATTATGATCACGAAATAAATGATCTGTAACTCGCGAAGTACTTCCTTGAAGCAGATAAATTATCAGTCCCTGAAGATAGATCCATAATCGTCAGCATAATCCAAGAGCTAATTATTTACAAACTTACTTCAGTGCGTCTTATCGCCAGGGCACTGAGATTTTTGTTCATCGTGGCTGTAAGGAACCAACTTCGAAACAGACTTAACCATCCCAAGTGGTCCTATCTTATAATTCTATATCACTTCATTAATCAGCCATTCATAATGTTGAGACAGAATGCCCCCTCTCAATTGATTAATAACAAAAGAGAACCGAGAATAGGGACTCATTCACTGCGGTAGAGGTCAATTCAACTCAATTAATTTGCACTTTTTTTTTTCAGCTGTTAGTTGTCCTGCCTGCCATTGTACTTTTCATGGAAGTCTCGCCAACTCTCGGATTCCGCCGAGCTGTGAAGTCCTACGAACAAGAAAATTCCTCCACTGCATGTCTACCAAAAGTCATACCCAAAAGAAGATGCCGGAAAGTGTGGCCTAAACTTCCACCGGTGCCAGTTCGTCGCTTCCTCAGAGGCCCAATATGCGTTCGACCTAGCGAAACAGACTTGTTGGAAAAGCTTAAGGATATTGGCGGCTTCAACCCTCGGTACGTAGCAACCAACTGGAGACAAGCGAAGAAATTCCCCAATCTTCTTAGAGATAAGGACCCTGTGCATGCTAAACGACCCCCATACAGGCAGACCAAGAACGTTTCCACTACTATCACCTTGGTTGGGAGGAAACTAGGAAACGTCTTACCAGGGGTTGCAGGTACTACCGTTAACCAAGAATGCTTTGCTGCAGGTTCCATCGTTTCAGGAAGCGTCTTATGGCGTCTTTGCAGCGAATGCTCAGCCATTACGCATCTTCCAGTTGATGTTTTCCCGCGATTTATTAATGAGATTATCTGCAAGGCAACCGACACGCAGTCTTGCGGCTCTCCACCTATAGGCCGATGTCAACAAAGGAATTTGGAATTTAAGTTTCTTCGTTTCACAGGAAATTTTAAACGACACGACAGACTTAGTGAATTACTTGGAAAAAATGTGTTTGTCGAAGAGACAGACGATTTTGATCAAAATATTAGAGGATGTTGCGAATGCCGTACTTTCGTGGGCTGAACAATATTAGGGACCTTAAGCAACCAGGACGGCGACGGCAACGAGGACGTGGAAAAACAAGAGATCTAATTGGCAGAACAATAGCTCAGCACGTGCATTTTGAAACTTTGTACATTTCTTAGCCGTCCTATGCAAAACAACAACGTGAAATCGCCAAAATTTGCGTCGTCTGCGAACCGAAACCGCGAAGGCAAATTATTTTAATTTCCATTTAGAACTCAACGCTGCTTTTATACGTCATGCTGAAGTTGAGCTGTGGCGTCGTATGAGACAGTAAGTTCCTGCAGGCATTTTTAAAATTCTAACTAAGAGTAGAAATTCATTTTTTAATCGAAGTCTTCCTTGGCGTCGCCGTCCTGACTGCTTAAGGTCCCTATTTGAAAGTGCCAGACGCCATAATGAACTCCTCTCTTTTACTTAACAATATATTTTGATCCACATTTCAGTACTCGCCTTATAAACTTATGTGAGGCTCGGTATAATTTTCAGCGAAGCACTCACAAAAATATTTTCATTCCATTCGATTAGAATTTACAATTCGAACTGAAATAGTATCATTTGGTTTCGCCAGAGAGCTTACTCTTAAAATCTTTTCTCTTAGAAACGCGCAGCGAAAGTTTCAGGAGTAAGGATAGGAACTACATTGATTCATATGAATTTCAAAGCACAATGTGATGTAGTGATTATCTCAGCGACATACTATATGCTAATTTTTTTTTATCCAGTGTTGAACAATATTGTAAAACTAACCATTTATTCTGCGTAAAAGTAAAAGATTGTACTAAACATAGATATTACAAATAACGCTTCCGAAAAATAAAGGCTAGCACATACGTGGCAATGAAAAGAAGTAGTTATTTGCCTTTGCATTTATCACCCGTCAGCAACGAAAACAGATCTTTGGTTCGATGCTGTACTGATCGATTCTTTTTGGGAGTGGATCCAGATAGATAGATAGTGAAATGAAAATTAGGTTTAAAGGTAACTGATCGGTTTTTCTTGAAATGATAAAGATAAATTTCCACCATCGGAATTTTCCTACTTGATATCACGAAAGACACAATATCGCATCTAGCTTAATTAACGAAGTGTAATCATTGAAAAAAAGGACCACAATAAGTTCCCGTTACCTTCTAGATTTAGCAATCGCCACCCAAGTTTTTAACACCAATACTCGAATTCTCATTAAAACGTCACAAAATCTTATTCAAATTTATTCGCGAGCGTTTAGTGAGACACGTATAGGATATCTTTTGGTTAATTAGTTACTGATATTACGACCTGCTGCTTTCCACACATGTACATTTGAATTGAGGCCTTTTTTCATTTTGAACGCGCAATATTTTTTGTTTGTTCGACCTCTTCTGCTCTAAATCAATATTAGCCACTATAGAGTGACGTTGAAGAAGTTCCTTGCAGGGAGCATTACTTAGGAAGCTTATTACAGTTCGACTCTTTTTCAAAAGAATTTTCAATAGAGTACAAAAGGTAAGTGTAGCAAATAATTTCTTTTCATTTTGGAGTTAAGGAAGACTTTAGAATCACCATCAAGTTTTTTCCCCGTGGTTCAGTCAGCTAGGATTATTTTTATTCCTATCTGGAATATGGGAAGAGCAAACTAAGGGAAAATTGCAGGCGCTTTATTACGACAACTCGATACTGAAACTCGTGAATATATCAGTAATGCATGATAAGACTATTGAATTAAAGTGATTCTCTCGTACATTCTCAAATATGTAACCTTCACCCTTAAAAAAAATTAAAATCACACGCCTGAAACCATGATCTCCATGCATGTTCGCTAAAATTTCTATCAATAATTATAGTTCCACCATACAGAGCGAGATTGAAATCAAAAATTCCGTTATCATAAATATGGTAACACTGGAAAACCCACATGGCTAGACATGTTCGAAAATTAAAACACGCTTAACGGTATTGTATTATTACAGAGGGTTATTGGCAAATGACCTGCTGATGATATCAGAAGAATCACGCTGTTGGTTTATTGAAATAAAGCTTAGATTAAGCTACGTATGGACATTATCTGTTTGTTACCAAGAATTAAACATATGTATACAGAGGTAATTGTGGTCTTGATTTATTATCCCAAACAGAAAGTTTAAACAAGAGTTGGAAGGTAAATTCTTAAAGAACAACTTTACATTCGTTACCTACTTGTTACTCACACCAATGTAATGTGATGAAAAAGGACATAAAAACCGTCTTGTTTACTGTTACTAGAAACTGAAAAAGAGAAAATTCAACAATTGTCTTTTTTTTTTTTAATTTTCGTAGCTAAGTCTTCAAAAAATATTTAGGAAATAAAATGAGTACACTCCTACTTATTTCACATTAAATATCGAAAAGAAAGGAGTATCTATTTACGAGGATTATTATCTTTAAAACGGAATTCATCAGAAAGGCATGATATTCGAACCAGCGCAAGTTTGAAAATCGTTTCATTGTGATGGTAAATATCCGTTCCAGAACTTACTACCAACAATAAGAAATGATATTGCCAGAATATGTTTATCCGGTCTGCACTTCTAAACTGAAAATATCTTCATTCCGTTGTTGACAGCATGGTCAATGAGATGCAAAGGAATTGGAAAGATTAACAATAAACCAAAATGGAGTTTTTTAAGGTGAGAAAATATATACTTTAATATTGTGCGAAGTAGACACTTGAACTTAATATTGTGCGAAGGAAGCATTTTTCAAAGAATGATCCTTAAGGAGGTGGCGTGGCCGAGTGGTTAGGGTGCTGGACTTGTAATCCGGTGTCCCGGGTTGAAGTCCTCCACTCTGCCACTCACTGGATTTGTTCTCGGTTGCCCCTGGTTCAACTCCTCGGCTGCGCTCTGTTAATAGCCCACTGGTCTGCCTCCTGCTGGTGGGAATTTTTAAGCTCTTAGTTAATCTACATTGTGGCTGAAAAGCCCCTAAGAGGGAGCCTCAATTAACATATATTATTATTATTATTATTATTATTATTATTACGAATTGAGCTCAAAACGCAACGCATAATAACTGACCCAAGTTCTCAAGGAGGTTAGATTCCATTTTAAAAACAACAGATAACATGGTTTAGTTTCTTGTAGCTCATTGGGAGAGCGATCTACTGACCGGGAAATTCTAAGGGATAAGGTTTCAATCTTCGTGGGGAAGCTTAACTGTTTCTTCACTCCACGCACTAAACTGAGCACGGGTTATTGGCTAAAGGAGATAGGTTTCTAAAGAAATTGTGGTGCTGCGTTAGTGGGAGCCTGAACGAGGTAATTTTGGTTTTATGAACTGAGTTGATTTTGTAAATTGGCCACTGTGAGGAGTTTCAAAGCCAACGTTCGAACGCTAGCCCTTCGTCATTTGCTCTGACGAAAAAGAACTATAGTGGCCAATTTACATATCAGTTTATAAAACCAAAATTATCTCAGTGAGCAAAGTCAAGTCGGAGTCTGAGTTAAAATATTAACCACCTTTCCTGATTTACTTCCAAAAGCAGCTACTATTAAAAAATTAAATCGGCAAACACCTAGCGTTCCCATGAGCACGCTCACTTAACACTCCTGGTAAACCATCTGAAGATAAATCCCTTTATCAACCCCATCGCAAAAAAACTGAAGTTTATGTTCAAAGCAGCAGAAAATAACATGTTAAGTGAATGGCGTCTCTTGCTCGTTTCCTTTCTCTCAGGTCATTTTCTTTCTTTCTCTGTGCATTATTCGATTTCCAACAGCCAACGGTGGAACAATGAACAACAAACAAGGAGGTAAAAACAGCCAGCAAGTATCCAATGGGACTCTGAAAGCAACCACAGTGGCAACAACTGGAGGTTCTTTGAACAATGGAAGCATTCATACGACCCGGGAGACCCCAAATTTGAATCCCTCCACAGCACTGAAGTCAATGAAGAAACCTAAAGGGACCGTCAAAACGATGTTGAAAAATGCTTCGAGAAATCGTCGTTGGAGTAAGACTAGGAAGAGTATTAACAGTAGGGTCGTGCGAAGTGGGAGAGATCTTGCAATAAAGGACTCCACAAGTTATGCCGCTAACAATGCAACATCAGGCAAGAGCAATATTCCAATTCGGTCATACCTATCTCATTCTAAGAAATTCCATCCGTGTAACACTGTACAAACATCTGCGATGAATTACACTGTCGGTGGCATCATATGTCGCCGGCGGAAGAACAATGAGCTGCTGCATCGTATGAGCTGTTTAGGGTCATATAGTCATCGATATCTGGCATCTTCCTTCAAAGAAGCGCAGCACTTTAAAGATCTTGATACAGGGAGAATCCAGGACTTAAGTGGCTCTTATATTTGGCATCATTCAAATCATAGAGTTCAGAAAAGAAACGGGAACATCAACCCGGGAGAGACATTAGTCAGTAAATGTCACCCGCGAAAATCTCCCACAGAATCTGGGCATTTAAGGATCTGCCCCACGTGTGCAGCCATTACACGACAGCCAGCGACGCCAAAACGATTTCCAGAGTATATCAATGAGCTACTGTGCGATCCACAAATGGCGTCCAATTACCTACCCGGTATCGATGGCTTCTGTGTGCAGAAAACGTTTACGCTTGATCTTTTGCAGTTTACTGGAGACTGGGATCTAGATCTCAAACTGAGCGCTCAGACTGGGCTTAATGTTTATCAAGAAAAATGGGAAATGTATACTCAAACAATACGACGCCATTGCGCATGCGAGCTATTGGCTTCAAGCCCGATGGCCAACTTCCTATGATTCAATGGGGTACTTACCTTCTTACGTTGGTGTTTTCTTTCGACGTCAAAACGGATCTGCCTTACCATGCATGGTTAATCAATATTCGTGAGAAATATGATGTAAATATTTCTTCATAAAAAAGAACGCCACGAAGATAATTTTCGAGGGAAATTCTTATAATTTGTAGTCTTCATCATTTGACCGAATAAAGTCGGTAAGATTCTAAAATAAAGAGAAAGGAATGCCTTGCAAGGCTTTGATCAATACTGACTGCTCTTGTTGTACAATGATTATTGGCAAAAAATAACCGATGATGTTGAGTTTAACATTGATTTTCTAAACATTTGTCCATTGTGCGTCTTCAACGAATATTCTCTCTAGTTCCTTCATTTACGTACATCTGTAGACTTAAGTGACCTTAAAGGACCGTGTATTTTGATATTTGCTTTGTTAATTTAAATGGATATTACATACACTTAGCGAATACTTTATATATGTATATATGAGCTGTACTCATTCAAGGAATATCAGTTAAATTCATATGATGGCAGTGAGGTCAAAAGGATACAAAAAAAAACACAAAATAAACCGTACAGTAATCAGTTATGGAATTAACTAAGGTAAGGAAATTCATATCTTCAATTATTGTTTTGAGATAGATGATCCAAAGTTAGCATTTGGGCTGCAAAAAATGACACTCAAAAGTGAATCTCTAAACGAAATTGTTACATTTTGAAAACAATGTTAGCAAACTGCTCAGTTCCAGTAGTTTTGGTTGACTTTATCAATAAGCAAGCCCCATCACCTTTGAGAGCGGTATTATGTCATTCTATAATTAATCTGTATTTTCATAAGATTGGCGGACATTTAAAAAAAAAAAAAAGAGAAAAAAAGAAAGACGAAATGCCGCATAACAAATCAAAAGTTTCCTGTGTTGTGTCAATAGAGGAGAACTTGTCGAACAGCGAAAGGGGAAAGTTTGATGTTCGCATCCTCAGACCTTTTTTCTTAGTCCCACAGCGGCAAGGAAAGTTCAACTGTTATGTCTCTCGACGGCTGAACCAGACATTAAACGCAATTTTCAAATCTATATACTGAAACGCAGTTATTAATTCGAAAGCAACGCGAAAGCTTACAGAGTACATTGAGTCGATATATTCTGTCGCCATGACCTCTTGTCACGGATATTATAACCTCTTACGTACCTATTTTATGCTAATTTTTTTATAGAAAACATGCGCGCCTTAAAACGATCCACAGACCCAAATTTCATAAGCTTCTCGTGTAATAAACTTGAACAGGTGTTCTAAAGTGTTCAGAAGTCCCTTTTATAGAGCACATCCCAGAAGAAATTAGATCGAGATCAGGCAAAGCGTTCTCTTTGAACTAATAAACTTAAGAAGGATTTTTTTCCTCCTATCATTTTTCTCAGGCTATTGTCACCTTCATGTGTCTTTCTGTAACCATCGTTCAATTCCCAACGGCCAAGGGGACGATGATAAGCAAAGGGCAAGAACCATCGAGATCGAATTCTAAGTCTTTAAACCCTAATGATATAGAAAGCGTTAGAGTCCTCAAAGCCCACAGGGAACCAATTAAAGATACTTTGGACGATGGAATTAGGCGATCAGACCTTAAAACCATAACCACGGTTCCCCCAACTCTTACTGGGGCAAACTTACGAAGCAAAAGAAACGGGATCTTCAACCTTCGCCGTTGGCGACGGAATCCTACCAGATTTGCCCGACGGGGAAGAAAACAGTCTGCCAGACGTTCAACTATAAATTCAAGGCCAACAAAGACCAGTTTCACAAACCCTTCAAACCCGCTTGGTTCCAGGAAAGTTCATCCTTGCAACACGGTACAATCCTCTGCGATGAAATACACTGTAGCTGGCATCATTTGCCGCCGGTGGAATAAAAACGAGCTGCAGAATCGCATGAAGTGCATGGGAACATACAGTCATCGCTACTTAGCATCTTCCTTCGAAGAAGCGCTGAGGTTTAGAGATCTTGATACGGGAAATATTCTAGATTTTACTAACTTTCATATTTGGCATCATCTAAATAGTAATGCATTTATCAAAAGAGTTCCAAACATCAAACCAGGAGAAACCTTAATCGGTCAGTGTCATGAGCAGAAGACGACCACAGAATCTGGGCATCTCAGGATCTGCCCAACCTGTGCAGCCATTACACGACAGCCAGCGACGCCAAAACGATTTCCGGAGTATATCAATGAGCTACTGTGCGATCCAAAAATGGCGTCAAATTTCCTTCCAGGCATTGGTGGCTTCTGTGTGCAGAAAACATTTACGCTTGACCTTTTGCAGTTTACCGGAGAGTGGCAACTGGACTCGAAACTGAGTGTAGAAACTGGGCGCGATGTTTACACGGAAAAATGGACAACATATACTCAAAAAATACGACGCCATTGCGCATGCGAGCTAGAGGCTTCAGGCCCGATGGCCAAAATGTTGTGATTCGTGGAGTATACATCTTGAGTAGTTGAGAGGTTACTCATCATAAATTGAATTTAAATCTTTTCATTAATATTGATAGGAAAAAATTCAGTCTTTAATTTTTTTAATTTAGGGTTGAAGATTGCAGTGGAAATGTTTTTTAAAAGTTAATCTAAATAGCAAGCGCTTTTCTTGTGATCTATTAGAGAACAAATACATGGATGACGTCACCATTTAATGACACACTGGGCTGCGCCTCGTGTGCCACGATTTTTTTATTACCATATATGGAGGTCATCTGTGTTATATTCAGAACTGAACAAACGTACGCAAAATGGAATCGATTTGCTAAATCGAGGAACTATATCGTTACATACCTTAAATAATTATAATTGTAGTGGACTTAACGTAACTTGCTAAGAATATGCGGACTTTCTAAAGCGCGGGTGACTTATCAGATTCGTGTTTAGGCCTTGGTTGGTGCCGTTTGTGTTGCAGATACATGCGATGAGTCTTGCTTCGATTTCCTGAATTTGACCATTTTACATCCTGACTAAGCAATTTTACTATTTCAAGTGGCTCAAGAAATTGAACACGCCCTTCGATATCCCTATGTTACTGTAAATGAGTATCACATACATTTTTTTTTTGACAATATATCTAAAGATTGGTAAAATTGGTTTTTTAAGTAACGCGGGACCAGATTTGAACTAATGTAAAGTCGGATCGATGAATCAAACTTGAGGGATCGAGCTTAAGGATATCTGATCGAGCCTGGGAGTCGTACAGGGGAATTCGGATTAGTAGGTCACACCATCAGGACTAGTGGCCCGTTTCTCGAAAGACCCGGTAACTTAACGGGCCCGAAGCCATGTTTTAAAATCAAAATTTCAAAGAAAGAAAAAAGCTGGCTCTGGCACCCAAACCAGTCCGTTTTGTTTCTTTAGCCGATAGTCTTATTGTAGTATTTTCAAAACTTTTGAAATCCCCATCTTTAATGAAAACAGAACAGCTTTACAGGCCCGTTAAGTTACCGGGACTTTCGAGAAATGTTCCCCAGGCCAAAGAGTTAGGCGTACAGAAGGTTTATCCTCGCCCAACGTGTAGCAGAGAGTGCTTGTCATGAGAATATTACTCATAATAGTTGATAATTGATTCGTCGGCTTTTCGTGCTGAATGAATATAAAGGCAACTTGAGGTTTCAAGTTGTCAGAATTAATTTCGCTGAATTTCATAAATCAAAATATACAAATATCAAGAACTTGATCGGATAATGCAATATTTTCCTACTTTAAAGAGGCGAATGCTTACATTAAAAAGAGGTCGAACACCGAAAATATCTTCTTTGAAAACCTCGGCAAAATATTGGCTTTTCTTCCCCCGCACTAAAAATATATTCCTTTATCGTGAAAACTTTAATCATCCAATCATGCCTTAATGAAATAACGCTAATAAAGAGTACAAAAAGAAGAAAAAGTAATGGTTTCTGAAAATCGATTTTTCGATTTTCCAACACGTGGAGTGTTACTAGTGTTGAAATGATACCTGGGAAATTTCAAGAAAATATCTTTTTTGTTTTTTTCAGTATTCGATATCGTTGCTCCGGAATCTCACCAGCACCGTAAAGAATTTTTCTCAATTTTAACTGTTTTGTTTACTAAAGTAATTCAAATTTTAAGGAAATTTGCCATTTAAGGCACGTATGGCGGTCATTGGTTACCAATGGCAACGGATGTAGTAAGTCGTGAGGCACGACTGGGCAGCGTGGTCCGACGGATAGTTAAGACAGAGAGATATCAGACCTACAAGTCCATAGGGCATTTATCTTGAGTAAGTTACATTGTGTTAATCTTCATATCACGATTAATTTTTGTCACTAAAAAAGCGTGTTGTCGTAGTCGCTTTGAAAAGATAAGCTAAGATTAACGTATATAAAAAAAAAATGGACACTTCTAATAAATTCGTCGACTAAGAGTTTTTGTTACTTAACTGTTTTGAATACTTGGCTCACAAGAAAAGCCGTGGCAAGAGATGAGATAAACGACATCCATTTGTTTCTAGAGCTAACAAGACAAACGTCATATATGTTTGTTTTATACAAGTAAACTCATTAAAGCTAAAAGCTGGCATTTCGTTTCAGTGCATTCACCGGTCCACTTGTAATCTTCATGACGAGTGGCGACTTTAATTTCTGTGCAGAATTAAGCCTAGAGTTTGGGAAATTAAGGTAAGAATATCTAATTTTTTTTTTTTACTCTAATTAAAAGAGAGTACTGGGGAACGTATCTAAGTTTTTGATAAAAAAAAAAAAGACAACGCTGATCGAACGTCTCATCAGTTTTCTTTTTCTCATAAATCTTTGAGTGCGAATCATAGAAAACTAGAACTTTTTGATTCCTTTCTTAAACATTGCCTCTTTTAATTTTATATACAACAGATCGTGCAAAAAGCTCTATCTTTCTTCCAAATGATAATTTATCCTTACCATAGAACCGCACTCAGGCTTTAATGTTTAAGGAGGTCGCCTAAGTTCCTGCCTTCTTCACGTTAAATGTTAACATATAAGTACATGAGGTTGATTTACTGAAAACTATTCGCTTCACCATTTATTTAAGGTTGTCATCTGCAAGTCGGTTTGAAGGTTTTGACCGGTGGATGGAAAAGAAAAACTACTTGCTTCGTTTGCTTAAGAGTTTGAAATATCAAATTGGTTTAATTTAGACACACCGGTGGTCCTGCTGAGTTTTACATCGATTTTGCATTTGAAATAAAGAAAACAATAAGATTAGGGCGAAAAACTAATACATCAAGGAATATGAATCAATTACATTTGTTTAACAATGTCACCACTGACAGATCAAAACATTTGGAGATAATATCTCTGTCGAATTTAGTTCCAAAAAGTTATTAGCAATAAAATTGTGTACATGTCTGTTGAAGAAATTTTCATTTTCTAAAACGGGTTGTTGAGTTTTCTGTAGCGCCTGATGGCCAAGAAAGTAATTAAACTTTGTGGAGTGAGCCCCATTCTACTTGTGAGGTCTTTTCGTTATCAAGCGTTGCTTATTATTTGTTTACTTGGCTTGATCTCGACCACAACACTGTTGGCCTGTAGGGTTGTAATCAAACTGGCAATTATCATATGAAGTTCTGGTAATGAAGATTGGGGGGTTACCTGAATTCATCTCGAGTGCCATCTTTGCCACTTTGTGTCGCAACAAGTTAGCAGTAAAACATACAACTTCCTACCGACAGCAACCTTACTGAAATCTGAGCAATAAATATGTGTTGCAAATCGAAGCTTCACAAAATAGAACTTGCTTTAGGTGGCTTTGTAAATCAAAGTGTTCCCTGATATTGTTTATCATAAATTCATGCTTTCCAGATGTTAATAAAGCCTCCTGCTGTACTCGCCATCGCCGCGCTTCTCCTGATAATTGCTTGTACGAGTAAAAGCGCCTATAAAGAAGAGTGGCTCCAAAAGAAAAAAGTCGAGGGCCTTACAGAGAACGATGGTTTTGGGCCTATGGTCCATCCTTGTTTCAACACCACTAAGAATCACACGGTCACCACTCCAGAAGGTGAAAAAGTCCTCTGTTTGGTACCCTCTGAAGATGACCTAATGAAGGACATTCAAGCATTGGGCGGATTCAACAGGCGCTATACAGCTGCCACCAAAGAACAAGTAGACATGTACTTTGAGGATCCTTTTAAAACTGACCCAAAGCCGATCAAGTGGGAAAGCAAATTCACTGGAAAACGCCGCCGTTCCATACATGAAAACGAAGAACGCTTTTCCAGCGACGAAACGAATGAACAAACTAAGAGGAGCGGGAACGTGGGCGTCCAGAAATGCGCAAAAAGATCCACCTTAACACCCAACAACTTCGTCCAACTCTGCGATGAATGTTGGCATATTACACAGCTGCCGTCGAATAAGTTCCCACGGTTCATCAACGAAAAAATTTGCGGCACGTCTGGCGCAACCCTGACTGAAAAGTGTGCCAGTGCCGTGATTGGTCTTTGTGTTCAGAAAGAGATTATCCAAGATCTCCTTATCCATACCAACCAGTATGAACAGATTCCATCGCCTGATCCTCAGTACAATGTGGTCTACAAGCAGGTCTGGAGGCCATTCAGTCAAAAAATCAGAAGCTGTTGCCAGTGTGAATCATTTCCGTAATCGTAATCTGCAGGCGCAACTGGGGAGGGGGACAGTTAAGAGAAGTTATAATTGGGAGATATTTAAAAACCATCATTAGTATTATTTTTGTCCGGATTAAATTTGCGCTTCGGATGTACATCCTGTTGCATGAAACTTTAAAGTTGCGTTGGGTATTTATTTTCTTTTTGTATACATGATATAAGATAGCGTCCCCACTTTTACTGTTGTTAACTTGCAATAAATCTTTTGAAATCGACTATTTCACTAAGACTGATTTTTCACACCAAGGAAGCTACATTTATTATCCTTTACAGTGGGGGAAGAGGGGAGGGAAGGGGGAAGGGGGGAGGAGGAGGGGGAGACCCTGTTCACACCCATCCTCTCTTTTCCCACCTCTTCACTGCTAAACAAACATGTTTCTGTGTTATGTTGAATCCAAGCGACATTTTTCACTTTGATCCATTATTATGCAAGGATCCTTTTTAGGATTAGGTTGATCGCACTGTGTCTTCTCCCTTAACGGTCAAGTGACTCGGTATGATTTCTAGTCTTACCAGCTCTTGAAACTTTGACAATTCGCTTCGACAAACCTACAGAAGTTGTTGGAAACCTCGCTTATAACTTATTGCAGACACAATTGCGAATGTTTAGTCTTGAATTTTTCTGCGGCATGCTCTAATCTTGGTACAGTAAGTAAAAGAAATTCCTATTTAATCGTCCTGTTTTATTATGGCATCCAAACCATTCGCTGAATACTTCGCCTTCCCAAATCATTCTAAAAAGCATATGGCAGTCTGCGGCATTTCTCAACATTTAGGTAGTTTGAAAAGCCGCATAACTCTAGACCAGAAATTTGTACAGTTCAAATCGGCACTCTTAATAACACCTAAGGTTTCCACCTAACGCATCTCATCAACTATTTGTGTTTTCATATTACCATGTTCCCACCAATAGCATAGCTCCATTTTTCTGCATTTAAAACACGACTAACATACAATTCCTCTATTCGCTCCGTACGAAGGGCCTGAATCGTCAACTTTATTCAAACTTCCGTTTGTTTTTTACTCTGACATTCCTTGCTTCCTTGACCTTGTTTTGCATGATGAATGAGTGTGTTTGTGTGCGAGTGCGTGTGTGTTGTGTGTGTTATATCTGACCCAAATAATTAAATTACATAAATCACGTAAGTATAGCTGCCCTTCTTTTCTAGCCTCTATGGTTATTTGGGGCAGCTAGTAATTTATTTAATATTTTTGTCAATTTATCATTATTTTTATCAGTATGTTTTTTTGTTGGGTAAAAATAAAGTTGTTGTTGTTGTTGTTTATTAAAACTCTTTGCGATAGCCAATTTACAATATGAACTCGGTTGATAAAACCAAATTACCTTGTAATAGGCCCCTACCGACGGAACTTCACGGTCTCTTTAGATACTTGTTTTCCTTTTAAAATTTATTTTGAGCAGTTTCCCCTTCAAAATTTTACCACAGCTGAAATTCACAACAACTACGAATCTTTTGTGTGTACGGTTCCCAGACCTGCTTAAAAGCTCTGAAATATAGCTGAGGATTTGGAGACTCCACTTCTACGTATTTTTCAGTTCTAACTAGGAAATCAATCAGTATATAACGTTGAATGCACATTCCTTGATGCATGTTACAGCACAAATTATCCTTTTTTCGACTTGCAATTTCTTCATCGCACGCAACTTCATTAATGTAACGTGGAAATCGATCGGAACTTAGCTTGGAAACTCGTTGACACTCGGTGCACAGTCGGATCATACCGGTCTCCGTTCGGCCACCTCGGTAGTCGCAACGAACTTTCTTTGAACCGACTATGTTGTTCTCAAAGACTTCACTGCGTGACACTGCTTTTCTGTTACGTGACAGCAATTTCTTTATACCTAAAAATTCTTTCCGGTTGCGTGACGGTGAAGACATAAAGTGACTCCATATGATAAGGAATGGTTTCTCCTCGCCATTTGTAACAGGTGGTTGAGGGCCAGGAAGTAGGTTGGTAAAGTTCTCGGCTTCACGTTCTGTCACCGCAGCATAATGCTTGTTTAACCCTCCTGTGCTTTTCAATTGCTCCCTTAGTTCTTCCTCCGTGGGAACCATGCACAAAATAATTTTTTTGCCCCCAGAGTTACTATTATTGCTGATAGGACCATTGCAAGGGTGACGTATTTCCTGTTTACCGTGGTACAGCACAACGCGCGTGAGATGACGCGTGAATGAGTCCTGGACGAATCCACGCGTGATCATGAACAACGTAATTAGTAAAATTGAATAAATCGTCACAACCTGAGGAAATAAAACAGGAAAGAGAACAGTTACCCAAGGTTTTGTAGAGATTAAATTCAATTCTACAAACCTAGCAGAAAGCTTTTCTTTTTCTATCTTTTCTGGTAGAAATCCTTGTAAAAGGAAAAACGCCATTTAGGAATGAAGCTAATTCACTACCTAGAAAAAAAGAACAACGACAAGCAATTGAATCTGTGGGAGAAATTTCAATTTCCTTTTTTTCCAGGGAAGTGTTATGAATAAGCACTGTGCCTATTATCCGAAAAGAAAATGGTTTTATTCTCAGATATTAGAAACATGTCTTGCTTTAACGCGAGAAAGGAATAGCATTCAATATAAAATAAGAAAGGAGCCTGGAGCAAACTACTTTCAGTTAGAATGGTTTCACCGAAAGGTGAACCTGTTTTTAAGCGGTCGCCCATAGGACCGCTTAATACAGACATAAAATAAAGGCCAAACGCGAAAAAAAGCGTCATTCTATACCATAATCGATCACTTGGAGTACAGTTCATTTCTAAACTCGCTCAAAAATGCATCGAGTCTGCGTTTATAAATATCATCAACAAAATGGTGGCGCAACGCAAAACAGAACGGCAATAAAGCAGATTTACTGTACGCAGTATATAGTGCGACCCCTTCGTCACTAACCGGCGAATGACTTGTTTGAACTTCGAACGTAATATTTTTCCTAAGAATCCCAAGAAGAAAGATAAGTTGCAATACGTTGAGGTCGTACCAACTTTGATTACGGGAGATAATCAGGAAGTCCCTTCATACATTAGGACAGTAAACAGGATTGAAATCACGACCCGTTATAGTATAAAATGCATCCAAAAGAAGATGTACGTGACTCTCTAACTGGTTCTTTCATTTTAAATTAACTGTTCGCGATGCGATGCAACTAGCAAACAGCTATCTGTATTATAGCCTGGGTGATAGGTTGTCACACTTACAATAATATATGTTCTTACCTGCGAATGCATTTTGAATGATTCCACTAACTTTTCTGTGCGTACACGAAAATCGTTACTTAAAAAAACCATAACCTGTCCAGTATATTCCGTTTTTTCACCTGTCGTTAGACACGGTGGGCCCAAACTGAGCCCACAGACAATGACAAACATGTGATAACCCACCTCAGAAAAGAAAAACACCCCAGATTGCTGAGCAAACGAAAAAGGCAACAAGCTGCCACCTTGCTAAACAACAATGGACAGCTGATGTGACTGAAAAGCTGGATCAAACATTGTCGAAAATTTCGAAAGTCTCCTCAGAATACCACGATTGATCTCAAGAACTTTTACTTCGATTTCGATTTCAATTAAAAAAAAAACTATAAGCAGTCAGCGTTCTCGTTAACATCTTGGTGCAATGGAAGTGTTGCTGAGAGCGCCAGTTTAGAAAATTCGACTGTCCTCGTAGTAAAGTTTTGTTCAAACAAACAATTGCCTTTCTAAGAATAAACGACATATGCAATGCTTTCCAACTATCATTTCAAAGCAAAATTCAACATTTTAAGTAAAGGAAAACCCAGACCTTACACGCGTAAGACGATTCTATTTATGAAAAATCTTCGCGGGGCGATCACCATTCGAAAACACTCTTAAACGCATCATGACGTCACATGACACGTCCGTTAACTGCACCCACAAAAATCAGACAAAAATAAAGGATTTCCTCACCAGCGGGTAAAAACCTTCAGACGAGACGGGAAATTACAAAAATCTAGAATTGACGCAGGAATTATCAGGAATTTAAAAGCAAAAAAAAAAAAAAAAAGGGTGCGCTCCCCACACAATTGACTCTAATTGAGTTCAATGACGTTAAATTAAATCGGCTTGTAAAGATGGTATTATTTCAGAAAACAGGAGAATGGACCAGCCTAGAGTCAGTGACCATATCTAAAAATTACGGAGAATTGTAATTGAGAATTGTACGAGGAATTAACGTTAATGAAAACATCACAGAGTATATTGGTCAAGATTGCAACACACGCCAATATGACACAATTATTCAAAGCACTCTTTCACTCTAAACAGGAAGCGACTCCGAAGGGAAAAGCTGAATAACGTTAGTTCCAGAGTAAATAAGCTAACGAACCAACAACAACAGGAACATTAGCTTAAGAGTAACCTTTCGTCACATGGGCGTGTGTCCCAAAGTCTGTGTCTAAAACGTTCTTCATTTTAATCCCTCTCAAACTTTTACGTAGTTCCACTACCACATAAGAAGATAATGTACAGGAAAAAAAATATTTAAAAAAAAAAACCCTAGCGTCTAAGGGAACTTAAACTTTCGATTGGTAAGTTTTTTTTTTTTTTTTTTGCGTTCTCGTTTCCCCTAACAAATATGGAAACCAGGAGGAAATAGGAATGTCTCAGGTGACAAGACTGCTTAGGGTCGTGATTTATAAATCCTGTCTTACTTTCCGCCCAACACTGCAGAGAAACTTGTCAGCGAACAGCATTAAACTGAGCTGAGAACGTCAAGATTTCCTTTTCTGAAAACTCTGAAACACAAAGGTATGTTAGATTCAATCGAACAGATTTCTTGCTCATTCCATATCTATGTTAAGCTTTTATTTGAGCAAGCTGAACCGCGCATTCTTTGGTCCTGTAAATCACTCCCATAATTCGCGTTTAATTTTGTCTTCCTTCTCGTTCTTGGTGGCCTTATTCCCAGGGTAAGTACTTCTTCAAAGGTGAAAAAAAAAGATCACATTTTAATTTCAGTTTAGAGTTCTGGGGATAAATTCCGAAAAAAATCCCAAATCCAAGTTTTAATTGCTTTACGAACAATATTTATATTTCTCAATTAATGTCATTTGAACAACTCCAGTTGTGATCTTACTTTTACTTTATATATTCACTATAGACACGGACCGATCCTGAGACCTGTCTGTTGACATAAAAATGGACTTTAAAATAATGGTAAGAATTCTAAATGTCTCTTCTCGCGATTAAGGTAAAATAAATGTAACCAATGCAACTGAAACATCTTCGGGAGACAGTCAACATCCCGAGGTTGGGTAGAAAAGGCAGTTGACAGACTGACAGTCACTTCCGCAAACAGTACGACATTCTATACTGAGGTAGAAAAATGAAATACCATGACACTCTGCGGTAGATAATATTTTTGTCTGTCCATTTTATTAAAAAGAAAAACATTAGTTCTTACCATCGATCCTGAATCACTTTAGTCTAAATGTGCGTTTTTTAAAGTCTTGACGACTATTTTCTATCTTTTGAGAGATCATCGGTAGGGGTTAGAACTCGCCGACAACTATTGATTTCTTTGGCAGAAAACTAGCTGCAATGGAACAAAACGCATTCTAAGACTTCCTTTCCTAGTAGAAATTCAAATTGATTTTTACAATTTCTCGTCTACAGCTAGCTTTGACAACTGCGGCTTTTTTCGCCTGTCTGAAATACGCAGTGGCCGGTGGTCTTCCCTCAGCCGCGGAGGATCTTGCAGCTGAGCCGAATGTCAATCAAACATTGCTGGAGTTTACATCGCTGACACCACTCCGTTTCAAACGACAGAGCCCCCTGTTTCTTCGTTGCAAGCGCCACAGCCGTGCACAGCTGATTCGAAAACTGAACGGACTGGGCAATCAACGAGGGGCAAGTTATGGCGGCTTCAATCGACGTTTCATGGCTCTAACGTGGAAGGCAGCTCGAAAATTCCCAAACCTTGTCACAACCGTGAGCACTTCTCCACTTAACAACTCCATTATCAACAATCTCCCCCTTAATGCTCCTACAAAAGCGAGTACACTGACGTCACGCACCGACTGTCACGCAACGGAGAATGGACTACTGCGCATGTGCAGTACCTGCCCTGCTGTCACCTTCTTGGGTCACGATAGGATACCTTCCTTCATCAACGAGGTCAAATGCGGACAAGCAATGTGTTCACACGGAGTGTTTGGCCAATGTCAAACAGCGACAATGCTTCAGCAATTTCTTTACAAGACAGGACGATGTAATCCAGTCACTGGATATGAAGAATTATTGCCCTATACCCAACCAATACGCGTGTGTTGTGAGTGCATGGTCTTCCCTATCGGTTAAAAATCGAACGAAAGATAAATACATTTGGCAAAGTCAGAACTGAATTTCCTCAATAAAGCACAATCTTGGTATTATCTGTTTATCATTCAAAAAATTTAATTCATAGTGAGGATATAATAAATCAACTCATTACCAAAAAAATAAATATATATATATATATATAACTAACTGCAGACAGTACTGTTTCGGCCTTCTGGGCCTCATCAGTGCAGTGCTATGCAATAAATATATATATATATTTATTTATTTATGTTTATATCGGTTATCCACCCATCGAGATCTTAATCAGTCTAGTAGCCTAGTATCGCGAAAGGTAACTGTGTCAAGATTGCGCGTTTACCCTCAGTGGAGAACCACCATCACAAAGGCGCCGTTCTGTTCTGTTACGAATGGGAGGAGGGGTAGGGCAAAAAAGGTAGCGAGGGAAGAGTTTCATACACCAAACCAAGCGCATCTCTCTACTCAAATCTTTCCCAAAATTTGCTTTGCGTAATTCGTTGGTTCTAAAGAACTCTCTGCAATCCTCCCAGTCACCAGTTGGGCTGCGATTGACTTACCACAGAGCATGAGAATTATCGAACATAATGAATTTTCCTGACGAAACGACTATTTGTGGAAATCTGCCCGGTCAGTTTTATGACGTGGTTTCAATGATTTCCCTATGAAAACGTACGGGGGGGAGGGGAGGGAGGAGCTTGAGAACAGGCACCCTTACTACCCCCCCCCCCACCTCTTGTAGCTTTACCGCGGTACTAATCGGAAATACGCTAAGAAGTTGTAGTTTTCATACCGCAAACTCGACCATAGTTTAGAGAACCGACCAAACTTTTATCTATAAAAGAATACAAGCCCCAAAGATATTATGAGTTCAAAATAATTCCAAGTTTACTGTTATTCTTCAACACTTGTGAACATCTTGTAATTATTGACAACGAGCTTAGCATGGGTTCTAAGGTGAGCACTTCGCAATTTAATTCAGTAAATGTACTTCTGTCGGATCTTCGATCCTTCCTGGGAACGTGTGGTTATGTTGCCAAGTTCATTTCAAACTATGCGAATATGGTCGTGCTACTTCGAAGACTCACTCGAAGAGGAGAGAGGTGATGTTGGGGAGCCGATCTGAGCAAGCCGTTCAGCGCCTTATAGGAAGCATTATCGGGCGAGGTGGTCCTCGCTTGTTTCCGTTTAGATGTTCCCACATACGTAGTTACCGATGCTATTCCAGCCGGTTTAGACGCTATTTTGCCACAGGATCAGTAATAGAGCGCCGGAGCCCAAGCCCATGGCTTATGTAGATCGATCGTTGACTCCGACGGAAAGGAAGTATTCGCAAATTGAACACGAAGCTCTGGGATGCGAATGGACAGTCGAACGTTTGCATAACTATTTATTTGGTGCACAGGTCACGCTGTTGACGGACAATAAACCTTTGCCCAACATGTTCGATCTTCATGCAGGCAAAATTTTTCCACCGTGAATTTAACGTTTTGCCTGGAGATTGCACAAGTACAGTTTCCAAATTCAATACATTTCGGGCAATAAGAACACAGCCGATTATCTGTCAGCAACGCCGACGACTCCGATATCGGTGATGTGTGCAAAATTTATATAAGGTTCCTTTGTGACACGAACGTTCGCAATCTGCAAGCCATCACTCTCGATAACACAAGACACGAGACTAACAAGGATGTCTGGCCGTCAAACCACAATGGGCCCACACAAGCGGCGTATCTGTTCGTTTGTTCGAAATATAATAATGTATGGGAGAATATACTGTATGGGAGTCGTAATATCGTAAACTTATATCGAGGAATGTCTATTTTAAGGCTCAAAATAAATGTAAACCTACCTCGCGTGCCGTGTATTGTCGTTTCTGTGGTTCTAAATGGCGAATTTGAGCGATTTGCGGGAGTGGTAGATTTTGCGTTGACTGTTACTCTATTGTATAAGAAGGAGACAAGGGTGGAAAGCTCATTTTCGACCGTTCCGCTTTCGAAGCCGATTTTCACTCAGAAATTAGAATCGCCCGGCTTCCAAATCAAACACCAGATGAACCAAAAGGTTGACGCTTCTTCTCGTGTCATTCAATCGAAGATCCATTCAAAATCCAAGCGCTAACTGCCAAAAAACTTTCGAGAAATGAAGCTTTCCAAGCGATCGGCAACCGCGGCACAGATTTGGTGTGCCAGGGAGCAACCGTCACGCTGTTTGCTCCACGCTGATTGGATGATGNAAAGTGAGCTTTCCACCCTTGTCTCCTTTTTATACAGTAGAGTAAAAGTCAACGCAAAATCTACCACTCCCGCAAATCGCTCAAATTCGCCATTTAGAACCTCAGAGACGACAATACACGGCACGTAAGGTAGGTTTACATTTATTTTGAGCCTTAAAATAGACATTCCTCGATATAAGTTTACGATATTACGACTCTTCGATATTCTCCCATACATTTCTTTATATTTCGAACAAATGACCAGACACGCCGCTTGCGTCTGCCCCCTGTGGTCAAACTCTATGCCTGGTGATCCAAAGCGGGAAATGGTCACGCGACCAAGAGCTAAAACCTTTTCTGAAACTAAAGTATAAATTATCTGTTTACGAAGGTATAATTCTCCGGGGAAATCGAATTGTTATCCCGCAATCGTTGAGAAAGAGAGTTTTACGGCTGGCGCATGAAACTCATCAGAATAGTTAAAACCAATCAATTTCTTCGATCTAGATTTTGTTGGCCCGGAATGGAAGCAACAGAGATGATGTACGAGAATCGTCACGCTTATGTCCTTAATCACTCGTTAAATAAAAACCTACTGCTTCAGCCTGTAAAGCTACCCCGTGGTCCTTGGATCAAGGGAGCTGTTGACATCGTCGGTCAGATGGATTGAAATTACATTCTAACTTATATATCGATTACTATTCGTCTTATCCCAGCGAACGTGTTGAAAGAGATAACTTCTAGTGAGGCTATTAGAGTTTTCACATATATATTCTCGAGATTCTGTTTTCCGGAGGGAATCGTTTCGGATAATGGCAAGCAATTTAAAAGCGCAGAGTTCTAAGCATTCCTCAAGTCTTGTGAGATAAGGCACATTCGCGTTTTACCGTATTCTGCGCGTAGTAACGGCAAGGTAGAACGTTTCCACGCTTTGTTGAATTCGCTTTTACATTAGTCACCCACTTTTCAGAATGTTGTATTACAGTTTGATATACCCAAACCTCCATTACGGAAACATCGTATGGGCTAATACTTATCCAACGCGGTTGGAAAAGTTGTTTAAATTACAAAAGAATATATTAAGAATGATAACCTTTTCACCATATACTGCACCATCCCTTCCACTTTTTGATCAACTAGATCTTTTAAATATACACCACATAAACAAAATACATTCATTGAAAAAATCATTTCTCAACGTTGGCCCGGAAGGATGTAGTGTGCTGATTACATATGCACCTATCTTGTAATTATTGACAACGAGCTCATTATGGGTTCTAATGTGAGCATTTCGTACTTTAATTTAGTAAATGTACAACTCGCAGTAATCTTACTGCACTGAAATACCTGCATGCTGTAGAATTACTATACGTCAGTAAACTCCTCTACTTCTATAGGTGTAACGTGTTTGTTAACAAAGTTCAGTTAGCCTTTGGCAATGAAGAGGAGACCGTCTCTTTGTGTCTGAATGACGACACTACATATTCAAACAAAGGATATTTTACTCCGCAAGCGAGTCAGAGCTGAGCTGAGCTGAACACCTAACTTGCAGCCAACTAGTGAAATTCAAAGTTTCAGAGCTCTTATAATGAACTACTGTAACCCAGTTAGTCTAATTTGAGATGCAAGCAACGTTTAACAAGTAAAATATTCATTTTTAGCAAACTTACGAGGACGCAAACAACTCACTTCTTTGTGTATAGATAGACATTTTCTCCCAAAATTTTTCAGAAGCAGAAGACAACTCGGTCTCAGTCTCACAAGAGAGTAAATGTGAGATAAAACCTATACACTGAAACACAAAAAGATACAGCCTCTTCCGATGATCGATCTACACAAATTCGTCTACTAAACGAGCCGAACTTAGGTTAACTATAAGGGTAGAAACACTATAATATATTCAAAGAAACTACAACGTCTGTCTTTGAAAGAAAATTTGGTGTAACATTTAGTTGACTACTACAATTCTGTGCCGACGCTATCAGCATTGCTGCAAGCGTTATTTTAACATAATCAGCCGCATTTTCACAACTTCCTCGATCACTCATTAACTAAATGTTGCGTAGCGTTTCGTCTGAAATTTAGACACTACTTTCAGTCAGCTTCAAATACTAAGTCAAACAATAGTTAGAAAGTAAATCAGTTCTTGAAAATATCATCTACGTCAGTCTAGTTAACTTATGTTCACAACTTTTATAACACCAAAACAAATTTGCCTTTCAAATTTTTCACCTTCTTGCTGTGTTGAAAGCACATGGATTGAAATGTCGAAATATCCTTTCGTCTCGATGAAAACTCAAGAGGCTCATTTTCACGGCAGTTAAGTTTACAAAACAATCCTCTTGATTCATTCTCATCCACCGCACTATGACCGACCGCCACATTTAAGTGCGAAGTTCAACTCAAAATTTCTTTCAGAAAATGTTAACCCAATCTCCCTTAAACGAAATCAATTACAATAAGTTATTTAGTGCTTCGCAATTATGGCTTAATCTTTAATTCTTGTAAGCTTTTCATTGCTTCCTCGTAATCAGTTGTGAGTTTTATGAAGGAAAACATTGCTTGAACCTCCAATTCTATATTTGGGCAAAAATTGCAGCCTTGTTTCTGATTACTCGGCTAATAAACCTCAGCTCGTTTTTAGGCAATATAAGAGAATTTAGACTCTTCAAGGTCATAAGCGTCTGATATTATTTTATTCTTGTAAAAATGCTTCGGACACTGACCCCAGTAAGCTGATATTGAGCTAGCAAATTTGAGAAAAAACAAAAACACTCTTAATTATGAATTCATCTTATTTATAGAACACTCTTTTCCGTCCTGTTTGGGAGCTGACATTCTATTCTTAGCAGCCTATGATTGAGCGTATATAAGGGGAATGCAATTTGCATTCACTCTTCCTCCCCAACGTCTGCGTGTCAGTATTATGGAGTAGTAACAATATTTGTCCAAAACTTCCGGTCTTATTTGTGCTTTTCCTTTCTGCGGTCTCTCTCGATAGTTTTCAGCCACCAATCCAACCCTATTTCCTCCCTACTGCCGTTAAAAATGTCCACATGTATCCCTACTCTCATTGTGGAAGAGTAACCCACACTGGTTGGCATAAGTAATCTCGTAGCAAGCAAAGCTTCGGCTTTTGAGGGTGATATCGAAAAAACCAAAAAAAAAACAAAAAAACTCAGCTGTCTAAGAGCTGCTGTAGTTTCTAGCAGTCCTGGAGATTACCTTTTTTCTTAATTGTAGATATCCTCACTATTTTTTGCCTTTTCACCTCCAACTTCATAAGCAGGCGGCAATATTGTTTTGCAAAATTTGGTTGAACATTCTGTACCACCTATTTTTACTGGCGTACCGTATCTCACAACGAGGTTCATCAGAATACGTGGATCACTTATTTTCACTAGCGTATTGGACCTCGCAACGAAGGCGAACAAAAAATTCAAAACCTGTATGATGCCTCGGAAAAACTAAATGTTTTATTGTTTTTGTGAACTTTTAAAATGTTCTCGCCAACAAGGAGTCATTGCGCTAAAGAGCTTACCCAACTGTACCATATGGAGTGTATATAGTGCAGTTGTTTTTTCTGTTCTGCAAAAAAACCTGTTCAACCGGTCGGCTGTACGTTAGGCTTTTCCATCAACTTTGCTTTTTTCTCCTTATAATAAATGCGCAGAAAATGAAGCAGTTGAATGATAAATAACTTATGAGATATTCCGGTTTATTGTATGGCTACGTATTTTTAACTAGTCGTTTGTATTTTGACTCACCCTACAGGCTTATCAAAATACGGCACAACTCTAAAAATACTCAGCAATACTATAAACCGAACCGACTGTTTCCTGTTTGTTAATTATTTTTCAATATTATTTCAAGTCACGTTTCCCAAAGGAATTAACATAGCTGTAGTACCCGCATCATATGAGCCTCTCAAAGATGGTAAAAGCTATTCTGTTAAAGGTACTTACCCAAAACTGTAATAGGTTATTTTCATGAAAAAGTATTATTGAACGGGAATCCTGTAAACAAATATTATACCAGCATAAAAGTACACATTACGATCCGCCCAATACAACACTCAATCATATCTATGTCCCGATGATTAATACAAAGGTTGCTATGGTTTTTTACATTTAATATTGAGTTGCACAAACTTGTCTTATTTCATCTCGGTATTTTGCTATGCTGGCCAGTTGGCAGTTGAAGCTCCCTATGCACACATCTTCTGGTTTCCTGAGAGTTATTCGCCTAAAATTACCACTGAGTAAGAGCGATGTTTATCTTTCGGCATTACATGAAGGTAGGATTTAATGAAAAATTCCAAAGTATGTGCTTGTTATAACTAGTTGATGGATGAAATCCAGAATTACGTATAACTCAACGCTAATGACCAAACTGTGATATGATAAGAAGCACAACTGTTAAGATAACTGCTTCATAAGATATATCCCTTATAAATGCAAAACTAAAAGCTACACCCAGCGGAAATGAACCAAAAGAAGACTCTGACAAAGTCACATTTAGGCCGTCAGGACGGAAACGCCGAGGAAGACGTCAATCAAAACACGATTCTTTTTTTTTTTTCAGTTAGAATATCTTGAATGGCTAGATATGTCTCCCTTCTCTTGGGGCGCCTCAGCACAGCTTCAACATACAACAGTGTTGAGTTCAAAATGAAAACTTCAATAATTTTTCGAGGGGGCTTCTGTTCTCAGATCACGCAAATTCTGGTGATTAATGTTGTAGGAAGGCTAAGAAACCCAAAAGTTTAAAAACGCACGTGCCGTACCATTCTTTTTTCCGAGAGAGATAAGATATTTTGTTTTGCCGTTGCCGTCATAGTTTGCTTAAGGTCCCTAGTATCTATTTACACTAGGAAGGGCTTTAGCAATACATTCGCAAACTGAGATGAGAATAACTGTTCTAAAGAAAAGTAAGACTCAGTTAAGTCGTTCTAACTGGAAATCTCGCGTTGAAACTCTCCATTCCTCATTGACGAGTCTAATGTTTGGAGTGTCTCTACTTGGGGTCACATTCGAACGGTAACAACCTTGGTTGCAAAATAGACCATTATCTTTGTTATTTTATAAACTTTAAAGTGGTGCGGATTATTTGGCTAATAAAACTAAGAGAAAATCCCAATACGATAGTGTTTCGCGGAAGAAAATTCAAAAAGGAATTTCAGTAAGCAAACATCGACCACATCACAAGTCGCTGTTGTATTGCAGTACCTATCCAATTACGTTCATGCTTTCTTACAAGGTTCACCTGTGCCAACATCACGTGCACGAGTTAAAGTTTGTTAAATGGCAACACAGAACAGGAAGTGTATTACACATTTATAAATAAAACTCTCTGATATCGTCAGCGAGGTAGTGTGTTCAATGCCTAATATGCATTCAAGAGCCTGTTTACGTGCCACCAAGTTTTGTATTACAGCAATATATTGCAATATCTACAGTGAAGTTTGAGCATGGCTGTCTCCAACGTAATATCACCACTTATAGTTCACCGATAAAATTTTCTCCGATTCTTATTGGTTAAATTGATTACGTGACGCGATAGTGTTCAACCGTGGAGAGACACTATCAGCCCACAGTGCCCGTCCGCGGAAAATACCCGGATGAATAGTGCCCGTTCCCAGAAAATACCCTGATGGTAGTACTCATCCGTAAAACATTTTAAATGGTTTGACGGCCGCGAAGTTAGGCAGATCGGAAATTAAAAACAGTGACTTTTTAATTCTGACAGGTAGAACGTATTATTTAGCTAATGTAAGGTTACCAATTATTGATATTTGTGACAGACTGTACGCATGAATTAATATTTGACAGATCTGCATTTACTGGGTTTTGATTGTTCCGAACTGGCGCGCGGAAGAAAATTTAGGGGTGAACAATATAGACGATAGAGTGTTTATGTCTCGGAACTATCGGTTCCGAGCCATAAGCACTCTATCGTGTTTATGTCTCGGAACAAACACGAAGCTTCGCTTCTCGGGCAAATACTTGTTTTAAGAACATCAAATTTCCGCGGGGCAACTATCAACCGATAGTTCCTCGACAGAAACACTCTATTGTTCAAATATTCAGATATGCAAAACTTCGCGACACGTAAAGCAGCCTGCAATTGTCCACCGTTTGTCATTAGACGTTGCATTGCAACGTCAGAGAAGGTTCTGCTTTTCCAACATCTAAACCGCCGATAAGAATGGTGTTGTTACGTACCTAATGGCCTGATGTTAGGAAATTCAGAAGGTGCAGGCGGAGTACCTACTGTTCCCGCGACATTTCTCGCAGTCGAGTGTAACCTTACAAATCGAAAGCAAAGCGGTTTTTATTGGGAGAAAATAGCTCACTTTTCTCCGCAAGGAATACGCTTAGTGCATGAGCACGCTAGCAAGGAGCTAAGATCTCGTTTTCTCGCTGTTAGGGACCTTAAGCAGTCAGGACGGCAACGCCAAGGAAGACTTCGATTAAAAAATTGAATTTCTACTCTAAGCTAGAACTTCAAAAATAGCTGCATGAGCTTACTGTCTCATACGGCGCCACAGCTCAACTTCAGTGTGACGTATAAAAGTAGCGTTGAGTTCCAAATAGAAATTAAAATATTTGCCGTCGCGGTTTCGGCTCGCAGACGACGCAAATTTTGGCGATTACACGTTGTTGTTTTACATGGTACGACTAAGAAATGTACAAAGTTTCAAAATGCACGTGCTGAGCTATTGTTCTCCCCATTAGATCTCTTGTTTATCCACGTCCTCGTTGCCGTTGCCGCCGCCGTCGTGTTTGCTTAAGGTCCCTGTTGATACATTTTGGACTCAAACTTGAATAAATGAGTACACTTTGTCTGTACCAAAATTCGATCACCCAATGTCTTCATTGAAGCTGACAGCTCTCTAACCTTAAAATCTCTATCGCGCTTGTTATCTTAGTTATATTCCGGCCAATTGAGGATTTTTTGTTACGGTGGTATGGAAGGCTAATTTGGGTTAATTTAGCCGTTTTTTGCTCCCTTCTAAAGCATTTGAAGCGGTCTAAGATTTTTACCGAAATACTCTTAATTGATAGAGATTGTACAGACTTCATCGTAGACTCAAAAAATAACATCAGAGTTGTGCTGTGTGGAATTAGCCGTAAAAAGCCATTAGAAACAAAACTTCCTTTACCTATATCTTGTAAAGGCGTAGATGGATATGGGCCCAAGGAGTTACGTCTCAATCTGTTTCTTCTCTTTTTCCTCAGGTCTTGCTCCTTATCTGTCAACTGCCCCTACTCACAATGCAAGACGATGACGAAAAGAAGTGCCCACCGCTCACAATAACTGAGGCAAAGGTCCAGCTAAGGCTACATGGTGGTGGACCTTTGGGTGCATACAACAAGAACTACATGGCCTTTACGTTAGATGAAGTGAGGAGAAATTTTAAAAACCCTGTCACCATGCAGCCAGGAAACTTCTCGGCGTTGTTCGCCTCGGCAAATCTAGCTGATCCATGCAAAGGAACTACATCGGGAAACGGCTGCAAAGAGTGCTTCTTCACAACAGACTTCGGCCAGGGCCATTATCCGCGATACATAGAGGAACGCAGTTGCGAGAGTACAGTCCATGATTGCGACGGGACGGGTAATACAGGATGCAGAACAGCAGTTATGAGGCAGAGATTTTTAAAAGATCCCGCTCAGGAACTGAAGACCTGCGATAAAAAGTTGAAATTGGACGTATACTATTATGACATGAAAATGTGTTGTCAATGCGTGAAGCTAACATGATGGCAAGTGAAAACTTGGCCATGTGACTCTTCCAATCGACCAATCGGATTTCTCGAGTGTGAACTTTCAAATTTTTTTTGGCTGCAATTTTTCAGACCTTTGTACCGTAAAGTAGTGATAAAAATTTAGAGTAATTCCGATAATTGCAACGAAATTAAGCCGCCAGTCTATTGCGTACAACATGTGTATCATTTTCTTAACCAGTCCTCTCACGTCCTAGCAAAGGAAACATACAGGTGGGAAACTAAGCCGAGTTGAGTTTTACGAGTATCACTTTAACGTTGCTAACAATGTATGAAATGCCAACGTTATACAAAATACTATTTGCTCGTTTAAGTTGAGATTACGCCACTAACGACGATTTTTGTTTGGTATGAAAACGGCAAAAATATCCGATAATTATCATTAAATAGTGAAACGTCATATTTCGCATTAAAAATGCCTCAGTGATTGTAAAGCCTGATTCTCATAGGCCGCTGACATATCTAACATAATCCCCGGGGGCAATTGTCGACTCTCGGCGACACAGTCCTAGGGGCAACTGTTGACGCTCGGCGATCTCTTTAACTCGGTACTCAACGCATCTGCGAGCGAAAGATATAAAATTGGCAAAACACGTCAATCGAACTGATACAATATTCCTACCACTCCATCTGTTAATATGGATCGTGTAGTGTTGCTGAAGCGCCAGTTTTCGCTCGTGCTTGAGCTTGTGATAAGGTGCGTAAGAAGAAAGAAGAATGTTAAGACTAGAGCTTGTGGAAAGTACTGCGACTCGTACTCATGCTCCCATGGCAGACACGACCAGTATCATATTTTGTTCGCAGAATTTCGACTTATGAACAGAATAATTACGTAATTGTGGGGAAATGGAGTAGCTAAATCACTGATTTCTTCGCCGGTCACTGGAGATGATATTCACATAAAAGATATTTTATCACCGAAAACCGCCGGCTTGCCTGCGAAGTTGAACTGAGGCGGCGCTCAATGCCTGGGACCGAGTGTGAGTCGGCTATATTTTTTTTGTGAGGACGCCGTAACGTTATCCCAGGCCGTGCGTGTGGTCACATAGCAGGCGTATGAGAACAAAATGCTATCCCAGCACGATTAACTCCCGCTTGATCGAAAGTATACGATCTATATATAATGCTATTTACAGCAAAACAAATTTTTAATCGGCTCAAGTTTAAGGCAATTACAATTACCCTAGGAAACAATTTTTTAAAGTGAATAATGAGACAAAGTTATGAAATACCATTGACCTTCATCCGCTTATAACAATGGCCATAGAAGAGACAATTCTCTTCATTCGGCAGATCTTTTGAAACTAACTGAGTGCAGTTTTCTGGCCGCTTCCTAAATGAATCCGGTCCCGATCTTCAATGCATATATCAATAATTTTGACCCATCACCTCCAAGAAGCGATTAGAAACTAACTTCTAATTTCTATTTCTTTACATTTGTTGTAGGGTATTTGAAAGGATTGCTATTTTTAATAATTTCAAAGTCTCGCCTTTTTGCGCCTACGTGTTATTTTGGTAATTTTATAGTTTACTTTGAGTGCGTGCTTGAACTTGACTCAGCTCGCGAATTTCCTTCTTTCCGTGCTAGACATTTTAATCGCTTGTTATGGTGGAGAATAATTAGTTTCATAGGTGGTCATGTTTGGGTTGGTAACACTGACCTTGAGTTTTACCTACACTGAAGATCCTGTTTGTGCGCGTGATTCTCGTGCGCAGCTCGATCATTGGTGTCTAATCAGTTCCTTGGTGCTCGCCAAGTACTTCGGAGCGAGCAACCCAATCTCCCCCTTTGCAAAACAACGAATACACTGCGGAAACTCTCACGGTCAGCTAACCCAAACAGGTCTGCGATTTTCCTACTTAAAGCGTTGGTTCCTCACGCTAGAGCATGATGATGATTATTTGATGCATAGAGCGTTGCTGTAGTAGCTCTCTAGAATATCTGTGCGACATTCCACGCCAGCCAGTCCACCTACCTTGCCAACAACCGTTGCAGATAGTCACCAATATAAAATCTGCACTCGTTGTTCGAAGCACAAGAGGACCAATCGTCCGAAAACAACGGCTTCCAAGGGAAATCGTACAGCCCATGACCCCAAAGTTGAAAGGGAATACAAGTTATCCAAGACAAGTCATTCAAGGAACTGAACTGAACTGAACTCTTATTTTCCTTTCCAATAATGTACTATATGATAACATTAGCTTTACTTCATTTTTCTAGAATTATAGACAAGGTATCCGCCATTCAACTGAAGAAAACCAATTCTGCGAAATATTATTTACTCTAAAGATAAGAGGTTACCTTTCTCTGACCCGTTGCCTTTTAGTTCGCGCGTCACGCGAGTACAAAGAAGTATTTATTTTTGACGATCTATTGTTAGCAAGAAGCGTGATCCACTTTAGGCAATTGGTTGACGACCGCTTGATTGGGTTAGGGCTGAATTCACAGGTATTAATTTAGGAAAAAAAATTTTAGTTATTTTATATTGGACAGTTAAGTCTTGCATGTATTCTTTCCCTTAGCATACGCATCAAGGACGATGCTTAATTTAGCCGGGGAGAAATGTTGAGTATAATAAAGGATTGCCATTTTGAATATTTTTAGGTTTACCTTTTGTTTTGTTAAGTCTCGCCTTTTTGCACCTACGTGTTATTTTGTAATTTTATAGTTTTGATCTTTTATTTTTAGTGCGTGCTTGACCTTGGTTCAGTCGGCGAATTTCCTTCTTACCGTGCTCGACATTTTAGTCGCCATGTTTGGGTCATGTTTGGGTCGGTAAAACTGACCTTGAGTTTTATCAACACTGAAGATCCTGTTTGTGCGCGTGATTCTCGTGCGCAGCTCGATCATTGGCGTCTAATCAGTTCCTTGGTGCTCGTCAAGTACTTCGGAGCAAGCCACCCAATTTCCCCCTAAGCAAAACAACGAATACACTGCGGAAACTCTCACGGTCAGTTAACCCAAACAAGCCTGCGATTTTCCCACTTAAAGCGTTGGTTCCTCACACTAGAGCATGATGATGATTATTTGATGCATAGAGCGTTGCTGTAGTAGCTCTCCAGAAGAGAATAAAAGAAGAAAAGTACAGAGTCTTGGCACCTCTTGTTAATTCGTTCAAGCGAGTGGTAAAACCCCCGAACACTTTACCTAGAAAATACGTAGTGAGAATCAACGATCTTGTCATCAAGAGGGACCAGCTTTGATAAGACACCAAAGTGTCTCATTTAATTTAAAGCAAACCAAGAGATAATTATGGGTCCCATAATTTTCTCTTGAAGAAAACCTAGAACCACTACAGGTTAAAATTAGTTATTGAACTTTGCAAGTTAAGGGCAGATTTGGCGAGACTTTAACCTTAGCTGCATCTGCTAAATGCAGATGCTAGGAGAATGTACACACACGAGCCAACATAGTTTTTTAGAAAAGAAAGAAAATTGATTTATTTCTTTTTATTTTAAATATGAAATAAAAGCAAGGCTTGCCGGAGTCACCCTAACATTCTCCAAACTGAAGGCCTGTTATGATAAGTGGGTTGTAAGTCACGTGATCTCATGGATCACGCGCAGAGTGAAACTACTGAATAAACAAGCTGTAGAAAAGTTGAACTCATAACAGCCGTTCCAAATATTTACACTGATTCGAACTAATCACTTGGGACCCTCGTAAACTGGAAAACTTGGAAAATGAGAGTAACTGATCGATCGCTGTTAATAAAACAAATGATCAAATAATGTACCTACCAGTGAACATCTTAATCGATGAAGTTGACTTATGAACACCATTCACAGTTTTCAAGAGAGTAAATGATCTACATTGAAAACGCTGCCAAGTAATGCAGGAAATCATTATTACGTATGATGCACGATCCTCGCAGTAGATAGCGCTATTTAAGCAATAGCGAAAATCAGACCTGAAAAAAATCAGGCCTGTACGGGATTCGAACCACTGACCTCTGCGATACTAGTGCAGCGCTCTACCAATTGAGCTAACAAGCCAACTGGGAGCAGGCCGTTAAGTTGATTCGTAATAAACCCGTGAAAGTGATAAATCAGATACAATGAAATATATGAAGTTCATATATTTTGAACTGCGGTATTAGATACGTATGATGCACGATCCTCGCAGTAGATAGCGCTATTTAAGCAATAGCGAAAATCAGACCTGAAAAAAATCAGGCCTGTACGGGATTCGAACCACTGACCTCTGCGATACTAGTGCAGCGCTCTACCAATTGAGCTAACAAGCCAACTGGGAGCAGGCCGTTAAGTTGATTCGTAATAAACCCGTGAAAGTGATAAATCAGATACAATGAAATATATGAAGTTCATATATTTTGAACTGCGGTATTAGATACGTATGATGCACGATCCTCGCAGTAGATAGCGCTATTTAAGCAATAGCGAAAATCAGACCTGAAAAAAATCAGGCCTGTACGGGATTCGAACCACTGACCTCTGCGATACTAGTGCAGCGCTCTACCAATTGAGCTAACAAGCCAACTGGGAGCAGGCCGTTAAGTTGATTCGTAATAAACCCGTGAAAGTGATAAATCAGATACAATGAAATATATGAAGTTCATATATTTTGAACTGCGGTATTAGATACGTATGATGCACGATCCTCGCAGTAGATAGCGCTATTTAAGCAATAGCGAAAATCAGACCTGAAAAAAATCAGGCCTGTACGGGATTCGAACCACTGACCTCTGCGATACTAGTGCAGCGCTCTACCAATTGAGCTAACAAGCCAACCGGGAGCAGGCCGTTAAGTTGATTCGTAATAAACCCGTGAAAGTGATAAATCAGATACAATGAAATATATGAAGTTCATATATTTTGAACTGCGGTATTAGATACGTATGATGCACGATC